CTGGGCTGGGGACGGGTGCGGGACGAGCGCCGGCCGGGCCTGAGTGGCCCAGCGCACCCTCAATTCGCCTACTTGCCACAGGACGTAAAGGAAGCAGAGGCCTAGGAACAGGGACACAGATGTCACCACCTGGCCTGAACTTCCTGCAGCCCCTGCTCTTCCTTTTTCCCAGCATCTGGGATGGAAGCCGGGCCTTGTGCATGCTAACCAAGGACTATGGCACAAAGCTACACCCCAGTCCTTTTTAACGTTTTTATGTTGAACCCATCACGCTGGCACACGCCAGTCATCACAGCCCTCGGGAGGCTGAGGCAGGAGGATCACTGTGAATTCAACACCAGCCTGGGCCACATAGTGAGACCATTTCAAAAATAAAAAATAAAACAAAACTTTTGAGACAAGTTATCACTAAGTTGCCCAGCCTGGGCTGGAACCTTGGATCCTCTTCCTGCAGCCTCCTGAGTGGCTGGGATGACAGGTGCCTCAACTCTCCACAGTCCCCGAACACCCTATGGGGCTTCCCTCCCGGGGTGGGCGGGGGCCGGCAGCTCTGCCCTGGCTGTTAGCAGTGCTGAGCCTGCACAGTGCGCCTCACTTTTCCTGCTCAGTGGCCTTGAAAAGAGGGACAGATTGGGAAAACTGAGCCACAGTCACACAGCTGCCTGCACAGCAGGACTAGGAGATGATCTGGGGTCCACATCTCCTACGAGGGCCACACGGGGTTCCTGGAGCCACTGCCGAGAGTGGCAAGGACCCAGGGCCCAGAAGGCACAGCCCAGGCATCCCCGGCACCGTGCACAACTCTGCATGGCCCCTGACCTCCCCACAGCCTTTTAATAGACAGGTTATTCCTGTCCTATGTCCTCTCCTGATGTCACAGTTGCTATTCTGGGGTCCCCTCTGGGCCCGTCCTTGCACCCCACTGCAGGCACGGAGCCAGGGACACCTGTCCTCTCCACAGTGACCACAGCCTCCCACTGAGGGCCTGCAGAGACTGGCCACGTGAGGACACAGTGCCAATAACTTCTGGAGCCCAGCTTCCGCCAGGAGTGGAGATGGGGTCCCTTCTCAAGGGGGGCCGCAGGGACAGGGCAGGAGGCAGAGGCAGGCCATCTCTGGGCCTAGACTGGGGACACAGCGTGGCTAGGGGCAGGCAGGGACCAGGACCAAGCAGGTGCCACTGCCTCTCAGCCAAAGCAGACTCCCAAAAAGCACCAGGCCCATCCACCTAGGTCCCTGTCCCAGGGTGACAGGCAGAGGCCCAAGGGAGGCAAAAGGTGCAGGCAGCAACCCATCCTGCCGGGACTCTACACGCTTGCTCTGGGCCAACGGGGAAGGCCCCATCCCACTCCCTCTGCCCCGGGCACAGCACAGCACTACAAGGGCCAGGCTCCTGGAACAGGCCCAGGTCCCGAGCCAGAGCACTGGTGGAGAGAAAGCAAACAGCAGCAGGGTCGGGGCACCCGAGGCTGGGGGCTGCCATGGACTGATCAGTCAGACCCGCCACACAAGCCGACTCTCAGATGCTCTGGGGCAGCAAGAGGGGCACGGAGTGGGGGTGGGGACAGCCTCTTCCCGACATGGGTCGTTCCCGCTACAGCTCCTCCCGTGGTTCACTTCAGCTGACCCACAGGCACCCCAAGTGCCACCCCGAAGGGGACCCTGTTCCCCACCTGGGGCCAGCACGGAGCCCGGCCCTCTCCCAAGACTACCCTCAGGCTCCAGCTCTGAGCTCCGAAGCTGCCTCCTCGTCCCACTTCCTGGGCCATGAGGAAGAGGGACGTGCCCTCTGGGGTTGGCCCAGGATTCCCGGGACCTCAGCATGCCGCCCAGAGTCCTCTGCTGCTCCAGTGCCAGGTCCACACCAAGAGAAGGACAGGAACGCTGTACCGGGGTCTCCGACATCCCCAGCAGCTGCCCCATCTCCTCCGTCCTGATCCTTGGTCTCCAGGCAGATGGAGCCGGTGGACGAGTGGAGCAGACCTCGGTCTGGATGAAGCCCACCCACGCCAGGGTGGCCACACGGACACCAAGGCCAGGAGCCCCGCCCATCCCCTGGGTGACCCACTTCCCACCTCAGGCAGCACCTGCCATCGCAGGGCCTGGAGGGCAAGCTGGGGCTGGCACATGGACACAAGGTTCTCGCCCCACCCTGCACCCGTGCCCCAGTTTCTCTGGACACCCAGAAAGGAGGGGCTACTGCATCCCTCAGGGAAAGGGAAGGAGAAAGTCGGGGTGCTGGGCAGTGCTGGGCAGACAGGTGTCATCATGAGCACCTCCTGCCCACACTGGGGACAGGAACCTGCCTGTCTCCTGGGGACCCACACTGCCCACACCGGCTGGCGGGGACGGTGACCAGGGCCCTCCACCTGCCTGTGGCAGATCCTATCCGCCCTGCCCTGAACCTGAGCCAGCAACAGCCCCTCAGACTGCCGACCGGACCTAGTTAGATGCTGCCCAGCCGAGGGCTCAGCGGCCATCCCTCATGTCCATCTGAGCCTTGGCTGGGAGCACCCTCCTTGAGGAGCCCTGCATCCCCGCCTGCACCTGCTTCCTGTGTCGTGCTGCTGGGCAGGACTCGCCAACTGAGAACGTGACACGGAGGTGCTCAGGCTGCTCCGGCCCAGCTCCGAGGCCTTGGGAGGGTCCCCACCTGACTGGCTGGAACCTGCCAGCAGCCTCCATGTGTGCAGGAGCCTGTGCCGCAGCTGGCTGACCTTGGCCTCTGGTCAGTCACTGGACACCAGATGCCCAGGAGTTCAGGGAAATGCACTAGGGTGCAACCTGGCCTAACACCCAGTGAACAGAAACACAGAAAGTGCCTCTCCCAGCTGCCATCAGGTGGGTCTGGGTGCCATCCGTGCCCCACCCCAGCCACAGCAGAAAGGTCGGATTCTCAGCCCAGAGGAGCAGCGGTGGCACTACCACCAGGTGCAGCTGACCTGCTAGGACGGCACACAGCAAAGATGGGCAAGGGGCAGAGGAGCATCCCTAGGCCTCCCCATCCCACGAAAAGCAGCCAGGAGGAAGTGGCAGCTGGGGCATGGAGGCCTGCCTGCCAGCCCCCAGAGGGCCCAGGGATGCAGGAACAAAGGGGCATGAGCAGTGGGTTTCACTCCTGGGCCCGTTTCCCAACCTTTAAAAGAAGGAAGTACCGTGCACCCTACTGAGAGGACCCAGGGCACAGCGGCCATGCAGGGCTAAGGTGAATGCCGAGCTATCCAGACCACCCAGAAGATGGCACTGACCCTTGGCCTTCCTGGAAACCCCTGGGGTCCGGCTCCAGCCGCTCACACACAGCCGCAGCGCCCCACACATGGTGGTCTCTGTCCCACCCAGGGCCAACTGTGGCAGCGCTGGGCAAAGTCCTAGGGCCAGAAGAGAACGGGAAATCTCCAAGACCCCTAAACAAGACTCCACCACATCCAGAGCGCGAGAGAAAGCAGGTGAGGCTAGCTAGGCTCCACATAGAGCCAAGATTCTTAAACTTGCACCCCACTCCCAGCCAAGGCCACACAGCCAGCACAGGCATTCACCCGAGAGCCTCACAATGAGGCCTGGAACCCCTCGGCTGACCCTGCCCTCCTCACAGTGCTTCTCCACTCCTGGCCCCTGGGGTTCCCACAGCACCGATGCAACCGTCAGACCCAGCTGAAAGCCACACAGCCCAGCCAGCCCTACTTACCCGACTCGGTGGGAGAGTTCATGCCGGCTCTGGGCCCACAAGAAGCCAGTGCTGGGGCTGGGACAGGAGGGGGCGGAGCTGCGGTGGTGTCGGGAAAGACACGCCGACAGACAGAAGGACTGGACAGGCGCCCGGGGCCACCGTGCCTCTACTGCCCATCCACGGCCATCCTTGGGCTCAGCGATCAGGCACTCACAGCAGCACCCCTAAGGAGACAAGGGGGTTAGAGGGCAGGTGGGTGGCACCTGAGAGGGCGCTCTCCTCTCTCCCTTCCTTGGTCCCCAATGGGCAGGCAATGGCCAAGGCCTCAGTGACCATGGCCCGAGTGGAGACTCAAGGATGCCTGAGACATGGGGAGCTGTCCCTAGGCCGTGCAGAGCTGGACCCAGGGCTCAAGCCCAAGGTGCACAGGCTGTGCGCTGAGGGAAGGGACGAGATGGCCCTGCTCTGCTGCCCTCCCCTGTGTGCACCAGACTCCCAGAGGCTGGCAGTCCTGGAGGACTAGGGCACTGCCCGGACGACCCTGCCTGGCTACTCCTCAGCCGACAGCCACCTGGGCACCAGACGTGACCTCGACTGGCCCCAAGCACATGAGGGGGCAATCCAGGAGGCTCAGCCCCCCAAAGTCCAAGGCCCACAGGATGGGTCCCAGCACACCACTCCAGGCACCTGCATGGAGCCCAGGAGCCAGGGTGCCCTGTCCTGCTCCCCCACAAGCCTGGACATGTATCTGCAGCAGAGGGTCTAGAGTCAGGGCCAGGTGAGGGGAGGGACCAAGGAGGCCACCAGGGCTGGGGCCATGCTCAGGAATGTGGCAGGTGGGGCCGGGAGCCCTGGCAGCACCCGTGTGGGCAGGGGCTCAGCCGGGGCCCATGCCAGGCCTGGCACCAGGGCCTGCTCACGCCCTTCCCCGAGGGCTGGGGAGCCCGGGTTCAGAAATTCCCACGGCCACCAGCGTGAAGGGGCCTGGCCATCTCCGAAGGAGGCGTCTACACTGCACTGAGGGCAGAAATCCAGGCTTGGCCGGGCCACCATCTCAGCCACCCAGTGGGGAGGAGCAGAGTGGAACACAAGGCTGGGGCCTCCTCCCACGCCAGGGCAACCCACTGCGGGGAGCACTGGCCACAGGGCGGGACTGCTGACTGTCCCAGAGGGGACGGTCCAGGAGGGTGCAGGCTCCTGTCTGGGTGTGACGGGGGGAGAGGGGCATCCAGGTGTTCAGAGCTGGGGGGCCGTGCCGCCTCCCCAGAGGTCTCCGTACCGGGACAGCTGGTCTCAGTGGAGAGTGGGACGGGAGCAAGTGGCTCCCCAGCCAGTGAGCAGCACGAGTGGGCTCCGTCGAGGCCCTAAGCAGCAGAATCGGGCCAAGGGACACCGTCTATACCCTCACCCTGTAGAGACCAGGGCAGTGGAGCCAGGAGGATCGTGGGAACCCGGCTGCATGTCCCAGCAGCTCGGGGCTCACTCCTCACCCTGTAGAGACCAGGGCAGTGGAGCCAGGAGGATCGTGGGAACCCTGCTGCATGTCCCAGCAGCTCCCGGGGCTAACAGGGTAGGGCGGAGCCAGGGAGACGCCCCCACCCCATTCATGAGCAAGGAAAGCCGGGCAAGCTGGGGGAGGTGCATTGCTCGCTGCCCGACGCTGACGTGGCCCCCCAACGGCTCCCTTCTTGGCCCAGGATTCCCTGGAGGTCGGTCACCCCTGGACCTGGCTGACCAGCCGTTCCCAGTACCCGGTCCTGCCCTAGAGGCAGCCAATGCCAGTGCCCAGGCCAGCACAGCGGCCTTGGCAGGATTGGGACGTGTCGCCCAGGCAGCCACCTGGCCCGAGGGCTTCTCGACCCCCAAGTGAGCCACTTGAGAGTCCCCGCAGCCTCAGAGCCACACAAGCCCGGACAGGGAAAGGGGGAGGGCCACAGGCAAGGAAAAAAAAGGCACCAGGCTGACAAATTCATTCCTGCTATCGGCCCATTTCTGTTTGTCTGCTCAGACGCAGCTCCAGGCATCTGCACGAGCCAGATGGAGGAGGCTGCTATTTCGAGAAAAGGGGGGAGCGCAGAAGACGGGTCTGTGTGCCTGGAACCCCAGGCGGCTGAAGCCCCCTCCCCAGCACCGCCAGACAGGCTTCCCATTCAAGACTACGGGGCCTGGCCGGGAGGGAGAGGTGGGACGGGGAAGAAAAGCAGAGAACGTTTAGTCAGCCCCGACTCAGCTACGACAGGCCCCTTGCGGGCTGCAGCAGGTTTTCATTCATGAGCCACAGCTTGGGGATGCCAGGAACCGCCCCCCGGCCCTCCCCTCCCATCGGAGCGGAGCGCGTCCCTGCAGGCTGGCGGGGTGCGGGGTGCGTGCTCCAGACAGCCCTCCTCCCGGGACGCGAGTAGGAAGA